CAATGAGTGAATAGCCAATGGAAAATGTAGACCAATGGGTGAAGAGCATGGGAGAGATGGAACATAAGATGAAGGTTCAATGAATAGGGAAGGTCAGTGGGGAAACTCTAATCAGGAAGGAGGCCAGAGGTCAAAGAGGACTGATTAGGATTCACTGAAGAGCAGGAAGGAATAGTGGAGAAGAAACTGATAGAAGAAGAGAAACCAATAAAGCACAAGAGCAGACTGAAGGATGTGAATTGAGACAGTAAATGGGGGTAGAGCTGATGGAAGAGGGACTAAAAGGAAAGGGTCAATGGTCCAGAGGAGTCACTAGAGGAAAAAACAGGTGCAATAGATCAGCAGGAACCATGAAGGTGGGCCTGTGTGTGAAGGGCCAATAAGAAAGGTGAACCACTGGATGAAGGGCCAATGGGAAGGGAGAGCCAGTGGGGTGGGGGATGGGGCAAGTTAGAAAAGGACCAATGAGGGAGGTGGACCATTGGATGAAGGGCTAATAGGAAGGGAGAACCAATGGAGGATGATGAGGCCAGTTAGAAAAGGACCAACGAGGGAGGCAGACCAATAGGAAGAGAGACCCAATGAGGGAGGGCAGGGCTAGTTAGGAAAGGACCAATGAGGAAGGTAGACCATTGGATGAAGGGCCAATAGAAAGGGAGGACCTATGAGGGAGGGTGGAGACACTTAGAAAAGGACCAATGATGGAGGTGGACCATTGGATGAAGAACCAATAGAAAGGAAGAACCAGTGGGAGAGGGCGTGGCTACTTAGGAAAAGACCAATGGTTATAGAGTGGCCCATCAAGATGAATCAATGAGCAAGAAGTGTCCAGTGAAGAATGGACTACTGAGCAGGAGGGGTACAGTAGAGGAGGGCCTAATAGAGGCAGAGACCTCCAGGTCAACTGAAACTACTGAAGAAGGTGGGACCAGTGGAAGAGAGAAAAGTGGAGGAGGGACCTAAGAGAAAAGGAAAACCAATAGGAAATGAGGACTCCTGGAGAAGAGACTATTAATGAGGAAGACAGCCAATGGGAGGGAAGAATGATAGAAAGAGGGACCAATTAGGAGGCAGGTATGATGGAAATGGGCTGTAAGAATGAGAGACAAACAGGAAGAGGGGAACCAATGGAAAAGAGGGACCAGTAGGGGGTGGAGGACTTATAGGGGTTGGGGGATGGCTGGGGAGGATGTGGGGAGTGCAAGGCCTGGGCTGAGTCTGGCCCATCTCTCTCCTTACAGGTGATTTCCCTGACACCATCCAGTGTGCATACATCCACCTGGTGCCCCGTGAGGAGTGTGAGCGTGCCTACCCTGGCCAGATCACCCAGAACATGTTGTGTGCCGGGGATGAGAAGTACGGGAAGGATTCCTGCCAGGTGAGGTGACCAGGACCTGCCAGTTACACAGGACAAAGACACAAAAACATGGCCAGACACAGGAAGAGAAAGACACAGGCTAAAAGAGAGCTTTACAGAGACAGATAGAGACAGACTGAGGGAGAACCCAAGCCCTGAAAAGAAGGAGAGACTTAGTAAAGATGGGGTGTCACCATGTTGGCCAGGCTGGTCTCGAACTCCTGACCTCATGATATGCCCACCTTGGCCTCCCCAAGACACACAGAGACACAGTCGGGGACATGCAGAGATATAAAGACACAGCTGGCAGAGATAGGAAGTGCAGAGACAAGGATGGAGGTGGAGGGGTCAAGAATCAGAGAGAACAGGCATGGTGGCTCACGCCTGTAATCCTAGCACTTTGAGAGGCCGAGGTGGGAGGATCACCTGGGGTCAGGAGTTCGAGACCAGCCTGACCAACATGGTGAAACCCTATCTCTACTAAAAATACAAAAATTAGGTCGGGCACAGTGGCTCATGCCTGTAATCCCAGCACCTTGGGAGGTTGAGGTGGGTGAATCACCAGTCAAGAGATTGAGACCATCCTGGCCAATATGGTGAAACTTCATCTCTACTAAAAATACAAAAATTAGCTGGGTGTGGTGGTGGGCGCCTATAGTCCCAGCTACTCAGGAGACTGTGGCAGGAGAATCACTTGAAACCAGAGGCGGAGGTTGTTGCAGTGAGCCGAGATCGCGCCACTGCACTCCTGCCTGGGTGACAAAGCAAGACTGTGTCTCAAAAAAAAAACAAAAACAAAAACAAAAATTATCCAAGTGTGGTGGCACACACCTGTAGTCCCAGCTACTCGAGAGGCTGAGGCTGGAGAATCGCTTCAACCCGGGAGGCGGAGGCTGCAATGAGCTGAGATCGCGCCACTGCATTCCAGCCTGGGGACACAGCCAGACTCTAACTAAAAGCAAAAAGAACCAAAGAGAGGCAGTAAGGAGGCAGATGGTATGAGGGGACTGTCCTTCCTCAAACACAGCCCCCACTTCTGCTCAGAAACGACCAGGCTCTGGAGGAGGGAGACACTAGTTGGGGAAAGGGGACTCCCTCCTGAATACTTTAACTTGGGTTCCCTCCATTGTCATCCATCCAGGCTCTCCTCTTTGTGCCAGAATGACTAATGCATTGAGGGATGTGCAGAGACCAACCAAGAGGGAGACTGAGGCAGAAACAGAGACAGAGACAGGGAAAGCGATACATAGCAACTTGGATGCAAAGAAAGGGCAGGCGGGCAAGACTGTCCTCAAGACACAAGGTGGAGAGGTGTCCCTGGACAGAATAGTGCCAGGCATATCTCTCCCTGGGCCTTCCCTACCTCTCCCACCTGGGTCTTATCATCTCCTCCCCCTCCCTCTCCTCCTCCCCCTCCTCCCCTTCCTCCTTCTCTTCCTCCTCCTCCCCTCCTCCCCCTCCTCCTCCTTCTCTTCCTCCTCCTCCCCTTCCTCCTCTTCCTCCTCCTCTTATTCATCTTCTTTTCTTCCTCCTCCTCCTTCTTCCTCTTCCTCTTCCACTCCCTCTTCTCCTCCTCTTCCTCCTCCTCCCTCTCCCCCTCCCCCTCCTCCCTCTCCTTCCCCTCCTCCCCCCTCCTTCTTCCCCTTCCTCTTCCACTCCCTCTTCTCCTCCTCCTCTTTCTCCTCCTCCCTCTCCCTGACCCTCTCCCCCTCCCCCTCCTCCCTCTCCTTCCCCTCCTCCCTCTCCTCCCCTTCCTCCGTCTCCTCCCCTTCCTCCTCCTCCTCCTTTGTCTTCATCTTCATCTTTTCTCTGTCTCTCCATCTGCCTCTACACCTCTGCCTCTCTCCACACCTCTCAATCTCCATTCTTAAATTGTTTCTCTTTCTTGCTCTCCATGTTCCTCTGCATCTTGGTGTTTCTGTCTCCGTGTCTTTGAGTCTCCTTTATTTTATCTACCATCCTCTCTCTGTGCCTTTGTGTGTCTTACTGTCTCTCTCTGTCTCTCTGTCCTTGAGTCTTTCTCTCCATCTTTGAGTATCTCCGTCCCTTTCTCTCTCTCTCTCTCTCTCTCAGTCTCTGGGTTTCTATCTGTATCTGACTTTCTCCCTCTTTCCTGCAGGGTGATTCTGGGGGTCCGCTTGTATGTGGAGACCACCTCCGAGGCCTTGTGTCGTGGGGTAATATCCCCTGTGGATCAAAGGAGAAGCCAGGAGTCTATACCAACGTCTGCAGATACACGAATTGGATCCAAAAAACCATTCAGGCCAAGTGACCCTAACATGTGACATCCACCTCCCGACCTACCACCCCACTGGCTGGTTCCAGAACGACTCTCACCAAAACCTTGCCTCCCCTCCCCTCCTGCCCAGCTCTGACCCTGATGCTTAATAAACGCAGTGACGTGAGGGCCCTGATTCTCCCTGGTTTTACCCCAGCTCCATCCTTGCATCACTGGGGAGGACTTGACGAGTGAGGACTTGGGCCTAGCTCTGACCCCCACGGCTAAGAGAATACAGGAAAATCCCTTCTAAGCATCTCCTCTGCCCGACCATTCCACACATTTGATTTCTTCCTGCAGAGGCCCGGCCGCGTGTCTGGAATCCCAGCTCTGCCGCTTACTATCTGTGTCCCCTTGGGATGTGCCTTCCTTCACTGTAGATTCCTGTAAAATGAAGCTAAGGATGACACAGTCTCCATAAGGCAGTGGCTGTGGGGAAGATTTAAGGTTTCACACCCATGACATACACAGGACAGCACCTGGCCCGCCATGCACTCAGTAAAGAATGAATTTTATTATGAGTGGAGCTTTTTGCTTTGATTTGACTTCCACCTTTCTGAAATCTAGATATTTTCAGTTCTCCTGTACAGCCCTATTTGATTTTTCCTCCCCTTCAGGAAGGCACCCTTGATGCCTCCACCTTGTGCCACATCAAAGATGGCTCTTGCCCCTAAACTTTTCTTTTTCCTCCCCAAAACGGAGTCTTGCTCTGTCACCCAGGCTGGAGTGCAACAGCGCCATCTCGGTTCACTGCAACCTCCGCCTCCCGGGTTCAAGCAATTCTCCTTCCTCAGCCTCCCGAGTAGCTGGGATTACAGGCACGTGCCACCACGCCCGGCTAAGTTTTGTATTTTTAGTAGTGACAGGGTGTCACCGTGTTGGCCAGGCTAGTCTCAAACTCCTGACCTCATGATCTGCCCACCTCAGCCTCCCAAAGTGCTGGGATTACAGGCGTGAGCCACCATACCCAGCTTAAACTTTTGTCACAGCAAAACCAGGAAGGTTGGAGGGTAGGAAGACCACCGTGCATGGTTAAGGGTGATGGAAGAGAAGGGCAAGGATCAGGTCTCCAAGAACCTCAGATGCCAGTGTGAGAGGCTGGGACCTTCTGAGGGCACTGGGGAGCCATGGAAAGTCTGTGAGCCAGGACAGCCCTGGGGCCATGTTGCAGGATGAACCAGAAGGGAGACACTGGAGGCTGGGGTTGGGGAGGAGGTCGAGGTGATGATGCAGGGAGAGAAGATGAGGGTTGAGGTGGGGCTGGGCCTGGGAGGGCTGGAAAGGAAGGCTGGATATGAGTTCACCCTTTGGAGAAGTTTGGGTGGGTGGCATTCTCACAGAAGGAACAACATGTAGAAAAACCTGGGGGTGTGAGGACACCTGTGAAATGTCCTGGATGGTGGAGGCTGGAGTTTGAGGTGGGAGAAATGAATGACGTGGCCGGAAATGTAGGTCAGCGGAAGATGATGTCACTGAGAGCCAGGCAGAAGAACTTGGACCCGATCCCGAGGGCCTGGAGAAAAGGAAGGACACGGTCAGATCTGGGCTTTAGAAAGACCCTATAATCTTTGTCTTAAGAATCAAAGAAATGCAACATTTTATCATGGGGGCGTGAAGAATCAAAGAAATGCAACATTTTATCATGGGGATGTGATGGAAGGAAGTGGCTGATTTGTGAGCTGATGGAATTATGAAGTCATGTGAATGGCCTGGGCCCCCCTTGACCAACCTTCTCTGGACAAGCCGTGAAATTCACCAGGGTCACCAAGAGGAACCCAGTCAATGACGGTCAAGACCAAAATCAGCTGCAGTTAATTGAGAGAAAATTGGTTTTCTTTTTCTTTCTTTTTTTTTTTTTAACGGAGTCTCAGAGTTTCACTCTGTCACCCAGGCTGGAGTGCAATGGCACAATCTCAGCTCACTGCAGCCTCTGCCTCCCGGGCTCAAGCAGTTCTCCTGCCTCAGCCTCCTGAGTAGCTGGGATTACAGGCGTGTGTCACCACACCCAGCTAATTTTTTTTTTTTTTTTTGTATTTTTCTTTTTTAGGAAAGACAGGGTTTTGCCATGTTGACCAGGCTGGTCTCAGACTCCTGACCTCAAGTGATCCATGCATCTCGGACTCACAAAGTGTTGGGACGGCAGGCGTGAGTCACTGTGCCTGCTTGAAACTGGCTCTCTGAATGGATAATAAGAATAATGATAGTCATGACAACAATAATAATAATAATAATTTAAAATACACCTATCAGCACTTGCCAGGTACATAGATTAACTAATTTGTGCCTTACATATATTAACTAATTTGATCCTCATTGCAAGCCTGTGAGGTGGATACCATTATTGTTCCCATTTTACAGACAGGGAAACCAAGGCACAGAGTGGGTCCATGGTGTGACCAAAGTCTCACAGCTAGTAGGTGGCCGCACCAGAATTTAAATGCTAGGGGCTGGTGCCACAGTTTGGGCTTCTAACCACTCTTCTGTACCGAAGTCTTCTTGTAATTCTGATATGTTTCAGAACTGAGCATTAAAAGGTTTAGACATCCAACCCTTCGTATGAATTTTATTTTATTTTTTGAAGCAGAATCTCTACACTTTCGGTATTTTAGGTGATTGTGTGTCTAAGAGAATTTCACCTGTTATAAGGAAAGCCTTGTGACTCCAGCTTTTTTTTTTTTTTTTTTTTTTTTTTTTTTGAGGCGGAGTCTGGCTCTGTCGCCCAGGCTAGAGTGCAGTGGCGCGATCTCGGCTCACTGCAAGCTCCGCCTCCCGGGTTCCCGCCATTCTCCTGCCTCAGCCTCCCGACTCGGCCTCCCAAAGTGCTGGGATTACAGGCTTGAGCCACCGCGCCCGGCCGACTTCAGCTTTAAATGTGTAATAATTGAGCTGTGATTTTTAAGATGGCGTTACACCAAGTTAATATCCAGCATTGGGATATCTGAAAGAATGCAACATGGATCGTATTTATGAGTTCATCTGTACACTCAGATGTACAAACTAATTTCAATGCTTTGGAAGTGTTGCCTAAAAATCAAGGGACTTCCAGAAGAGATTGAACGTGTTGGTTTTAGAAATGTAGTTTAAAATGTCTGAAGGTGTTTAGTTAACTTAGTTTGTCAATAGGACCAAACATTATTATAAGGACCCCATAGGCCAGGCGCGGTGGCTCACGCCTGTAATCCCAGCACTTTGGGAGGCCGAGGTGGGCGGATCATGAGGTCAGGAGATCGAGACCATCCTGGCTAACATGGAGAAACCCCGTCCCTACTAAAATACAAAAAAATTATTAGCCAGTATGCCTCCTGTAGTCCCAGTTACGCGGGAGGCTGAGACAGGAGAATCGTTTGAACCCACGAGGCAAAGGTTGTATTGAGCCGAGATTGCGCCACTGCACTCCAGCCTTGGCAACAGAGCGAGACTCTGTCTCAAAAAGTAAATAAATAAATAAATAAATAAATGCAACAGATGTCTAAAAGTAAGAAAAAAAAAAGATTTATCTAGACCAAAATGGGTTGTAAATAACTTAAAAGACTAAGGAAGAAGTAGGTCACTGGTTTTGTCACTTAAGTAATTAATTAATTAATTTGGAGATGGAGTTTCACTCTTGTCTCCCAGGCTGGAGTGCAATGGCGTGATCTCAGCTCACTGCAACCTCCACCTCCCAAGTTCAAGCGATTCTCCTGCCTCAGCCTCCTGAGGAGCTGGGATTACAGGCATGCGCCACCATGCCCGGCTAATTTTTGTATTTTTAGTAGAGACGGAGTTTCACCATATTGGCCAGGCTGGTCTCAAACTCCTGGCCTCAGGTGATCTACCCACCCTGGCCTCCCAAAGTGCTGGGATTACAGACGTGAGCCACCACACCTGGCCATGGTTTTGTCACTTTAATGAATGAAATATTAATTCTCGTAATCAAAATAGACCCCAGAATAGGTTTTTGTTACTTTGGGGGTTTTTTGTTTTTTCATTTTGTTTTTTTTTGCTGTGCACTAAAACCAGTCTTGAGTGCTCTAAAATCTCCCCTTTAACAGAATTACAGATGTGAGCAACACAGCTTGGTTTGTTTTTTACCCTCAAGGAATGAGGGCTCAAAGAGGACAGCATGTTCAGGAGTCTTTGTCATCTTGTTCACGGACACCTGAGTCTGATTGTTCACGGACACCTGAGTCTGATTGTTCACGGACACCTGAGTCTGATTGTTCATGGACACCTGTGTCTGGCACATCACAGATGAATGTTTAGTTAGTTCTTACTTCCTAGTGAGGGACAGAGACAAGGAGACACGAAGACAGATGCAAAGAGCTGGCAGCAGACGGAAAGAAAAACTGGCGTAGAGACAAGGTCAGGAGAGGCGGCCTCAGATGGCCTAGGAGTGGAGAGGGAGAAGCCACCTTTCGGGTTCCCCACCCAATACCCATTTCCCAAGCCATCTGCCCCTTTCCTGGCCTCTTGATCTATTTTCCCATCAACAAGTAGCCCTGCCCAACGTTCTCACCCATGCCTGGCCACACCAGCCGAGCCACGGCACCTGTGGGTCCCCAGACTGGGTCCCTGCCTCTTTCTGGGCCCAGAGTGAAGGCCAGAGAAGGAGTTGAGGGCTCCCTGTGCCAAGTGGCTTGGGTCTTCCCTGCCCAAAATGCAGGGAGAGGGAGGCAGAAAGACAGGGAAGGAGGAAGGGGTGGGGAAGAGAGAGAGACAGAATAATACAAATACAGAAACACAGAGAAAACACACAGAGAGCCTGGGACACAGGGGCACACAAAGCCAGAGAGAAAAGAGAAGATACAGAAAGATACAAAGGGAGACACAGAGGTCTAAAGAAAGAGAGATTAACAGAGAGTCCCAGATACACGCAAAGGGGCAGGAGCATGGTTTTCAGGGTGGTGTCTATGATCATCCTCTTGATTATGGTGATGGTGTGACAGGTACCTAAAGCCATCAGACTCCACCCTTTAAATATGCAGTTTGGGCCAGGCATGGTGGCTCATGCCTGTAATTCCAGCACTTTGGGAGGCAGAGGTGGGTGAATCACTTGAGGCCAGGAGTTCAAGACCAGCCTGGCCAACATGGTGAAACCCCATCTCTACAAAAAAAAAAAAAAATCAGCCGGGCATCGTGGGGCACCTGTAATCCCAGCTACTCCGGAGGCTGAGGCATGAGAGTCGCTTGAACACACAGGAGGTGGAGGTTGCAGTGGGCCGAGATCACACCACTGCCCTCCAGCCTGGGCGACAGAGCAAGACTCTGTCTCAAATAAATAAACAAACAAACAACCAGTTTGTTATACCTTAGCTATACCTAAAAAAAAAAAAAATGCTGTCAACAGATAGAGCAGAAGTGAAATAAAGGAAAATAAACGGGCTGAGAACTCTAAGGTATATTTGACAAATCACTCAGAACCTTTAAAAAAGAGAGAATCACAGAGGCATAGAGAGACAGAGGGCGAGGAACGGGGAGACAGCACCACTTGTGGCCCAAGGAGAGAGAAACAAGGCTCCTAAGATAGACAGGGGAGACAGAGAGAGAGAGAGAGAGAGAGAGACAGCCAGAGAGAGAGAGACAGAGAGAGAGAGACAGAGACAGAGACAGAGAGGCAAGAGGGAGAGAGAGAAAGAGAGAGGGGTGGGGTGGAGAGAGACACGAGATATTGAGACAGACTCAAAAAGACAGCCCTGGGAGAATCACAGAGCGATGGAAGAAGACTCTGAAAAAAAAAAAAAAAGAAAAAGACAGAGACAAAGATGGAAAGAGGAGTATCGAGCGAGAACAGACAGTGGTGGAATGAGCAAAACGCGGAGAAGAAAGCAAGCAATCCAGGCGCCAGGAACAGTGACACAGAGTTGGTGAGAAGCCAGATCCCTAAGGCTGGGGGAGGCAGGGAAGGGGCTGGCCTGGCTTCCGGAGACCCCCTCCCCATCCTCTGATCCAGGGAGGTAGGGAGTGGTATGCGGGACGGGGTGGGGGGTGCTCTGGGGGTGGAGATGGGGGGAGCAGGAGGAGCGATTGCTAAGGCCCAATAGGCACCTCATGGCCCGGGAATGTGCCCCAGGGAGCAGTGGGTGGTTATAACTCAGGCCTGGTGCCCAGAGTCCAGGAGGAGGCGGTGGCCAGGAAGGTGCAGGCCTGAGAAATCTGCGGCTGAACTGGAAGCGAATCCCCCACCCCCTACTTGGGGGACAGGGCAGGTGAGACCTGGGGAGGGTGGCTCAGCAGGCAGGGAAGGAGAGGTGTCTGTGCATCCTGCACCCACATCTTTCTCTGTCTTCCCTCCTCGCCCCGTCTGGAGGTTGCTAGACTCCTATCTTCTGAATTTCATAGTGCCTGGGTCTCAGCACGGTGCTGATGGCGGCACAGCATCCTTGTGCTTCCTCTCTACCTGGGGAAATAAGGTAGGGGAGGAAGGGGAAGTGAGTTAAGGGCTCCCGGGATCCCCTGGGCCTCCCAACCGTCTGACATCCCCCATCCAGGTGCAGCGGCCATGGCTACAGCAAGAACCCCCTGGATGTGGGTGCTCTGTGCTCTGATCACAGCCTTGCTTCTGGGGGTCACAGGTAACCAGAACTCTGGGGTGGGGGGCGTGGGATAGGGAGGACTGCCTCTGCGTCTCTAGAGTGCCTGTACCCTGGGGAACTGTGTGAGCCTGGGCGTGACTCCGGGACTGGGTGAATGTGAGTCTCGGTCTGTATTTGTGGTTGTGCGATTGTATGTGGCCCTGTGACTGCTATGTGGCCCTGTGACTGCCACGGTGTGTGTCGGGGAGGGGGATGCCTTTTCCCATATCAAGTGACTGTGCGGCAGGTGGCACTGACCCTTGGAGGCTGTATGTGTGGTTTTGTGATTGTGTGTGCATTTAAGATTGTGTGTGGCTCTACAGTGATGTGGGTGAATGCATGTGGCACTGGGGGTGTTTACTGTGTGTTTGGCTGTGGGTGGTGACTTGGCTTTGTGTATGACTGCAGGGATCTGCAGTTCCTGTCCCTGAGGTACCGGGATTTCATGCAACAAAAGCGGTCATCACCATGGAAATGTGTGACTGTGTGCTTGCAGGCAATTATGTGATTGTGGCTGAGTGCAACATTATGGGTGCTTGTATTTGTGACCTTGTGACTACCTGAAGCTCTATGTAGGGGTGACTGTACGTGACTGTGTGTGTCTGTGTGAGGCGGTGTAAATACTACGGTATGTGTGATGGTGCAGCTGTGTGTCTGGAGTTTCTGTCTGCCTGGAGGGATAGAGGGTGCAGGGATGGCTGTCTCTGGGAGATGGGTGCTAGGTGACCGACTTGAGGTGTGTGCCTGTGTGCAGAACAGTATGTGGCAGTCTGAACATCTATGCAAACACGGCATCTTTGCGTGCACTGAGACACTGTGGATGAGGGTGTGCGATCCCGCAAGGCTGCCCAGGAGCGTATGTACCTGGTGAGCGTGTGTACCTGGAGACAGAGCTGTACTGTCAGCTGCGCCTGTGGAGGCAATGCGTGCCTGTCTGCAGAACCGCGTGCACGCTTGGAGGTTACTGCTGTTTTGTGCGTGGTTCTCCGGGTGAGTTTGTGAGTGATGGTGGTGCCAGGGCCATTAGCAAGGGTAAGAACCAGGCCGGGCGCGGTGGCTCACGCCTGTAATCCCAGCACTTTGGGAGGCCAGGGAGGGCGGATCACCTGAGGTCGGGAGTTGGAGACCAGCCTGGCCAACATGGTGAAACCCCGTCTCAACTAAAAATACAAAAAATTAGCTGGTGTTGTGGCGCATGCCTGTAATCCCAGCTACTCGGGAGACTGAGGCAGGAAAATCGCTTGAACCCAGGAGGTGGAGGTTGCGGTGAGCCGAGATTGCCCCATTGGTCTCCAGCCTGGGGCAACAAGAGCAAAACTCCATCTCAAAAAAAAAAAAGAAAAAGAAAAAGAAAAAAAGGAGTAAGAACCAGTGAATGGGCGTGGGAGGACTGATGAGGGAGTGGGGCATGTATGTAGTCTGTAGGTACATGAGAGGAGGGGATTGACAGGATCCAGGAGGCAAGGTTGTATCCGAGAATTCAGAAATCTATGCCTGCTCTTCCCCTCCACGTGGCCCCTTAAGCTGAGCCCTTCTTTCCTGGTCTAGCTTTGGGAACCTTAGCTCCGCCCATGAGCTCTGACCCCACCTACTTTCCTCAACCACGCCCCTAGGCCAGACTCTAGTTGACCCCGCCTCAGGCTGCACCCCTCTGAGCCAAGCTCCAGTCCCTATTCTGTGGGCACGTTCTAGAACCCCCTTCAAAGTCAGAGTCAGAAGTCAGAGGTTTTTTTTTGTTTGTTTGTTTGTTTGTTTGTTTTGGAGACAGAGTCTTGCTCTTTCTCCCAGGCTGGAGTGCAGTGGCGTGATCTCGGCTCACTTCAACCTCTGCCTCCCGGGTTCAAGTGATTCTCATGCCCCCACCTCCTGAGTAACTGGAATTACAGGCGCGTACCACCACGCCTGGCTAATTTTTGTGTTTTTAGTAGAGACGCGGTTTCACCTTGTTGGCCAGGCTGGTCTCGAACTCCCAACCTCAGGTGATCCGCCCGCCTCAGCCTCCCAGAGTGCTGGGGTTACAGGTGTGAGCCAGTGCACCCCGCCCAAAGTCAGAGCTCTTTATAGGAAACTCTAACATGTAACCCTGGCCTTGGCCCTGACCAAGTCGATTCCAAACCCCTTCCTGCCTCCAGCCCTGACCCCACTCACTGAGGCCTGACCCCACTTCCTGAGACCAGTTCCATCCCTAAAGCCCTGGTCTCCCTCCCATCCCGAGGCTCCAGCCCCCACAGCCTTGGCTCTACCCCTGAGCTTGTCCAGGAATCCTGTACCCAATTTTATCCTCCCATTTAGTTCTAGCCAATTCCAGGAATCTGTGAGGTCCAGTTAGACTCCAGTAACCCTACCTGAGCCTGGGCTCTGTCCTTGAGCTTGAGCCTGGTCTTGAGCGGTGCCACTCTTATTCTCCAGGCCCCGCCCCTAACCCCTGGCCCCGCCCCCTCAGCAGGTCAGACCCCCACCCTCTAGCAGGTCTGGCCTCTTGAGTCTGAGACCCACCCCGAGCCCAAGCCCCGCCTCTGAGCCCCGCCCAACCCATTTTCCGTCCTCAGAGCATGTTCTCGCCAACGATGATGTTTCCTGTGACAATCCCTCTAACACCGTGCCCTCTGGGAGCAACCGGGACGTGGGAGCTGGGGACGATGCCCGGTCGGATGACAGCAGCAGTCGCATCATCAACGGGTCCGACTGCGATGAGCACACCCAGCCGTGGCAGGCTGCGCTGTTGCTAGGGCCCAACCAGCTCTACTGCGGGGGGGTGCTGGTGCATCCACAGTGGCTGCTCACGGCCGCCCACTGCAGGAAGAAGTGAGTGGGAGTTCCAAGAGGAAGGCTGGTGGGGAGGGGGAAGTGGGGTTGGGGGGCATGGAGGTGAGGGCTGGTGGGGATGGGTTGGGGATGTGGGAGCAGCAGGAGGTCGAGTTGGGGATAGGACTAAGGATGGAGTTTTGGGGGAGAGTAGGGTGGGAGGATGAGGTTGCAGAGGGGCGAGTGTTGTGGTAGGGAACAGGAAGGAGATCAGGATGGGTTGGATTCGGGGTTAAGAGCGTGTAATTGTTGAATGGTTTGGGATGGAGGTGGAATTGGGGTTAGGAGCGTATATTGGTCGAATGGTTTGGGATGGAGGTGGAACTGGGATTGGCTTTAGAATTGGGGGTGGGTGAAAATCGTGCTGGGGTGGAAATGAAGATGGAATAGAGATAGTGTTGGGATTGGGAACAGATATAGAATTGAGGGTGGGGATTGGAATTGGGGTTGGGGTTGGGGATGGTTGGATTTGGGCTCGAGAATGCATATGTGATGGCTTCTGGGTAGGGAAAGTATTTGGGCTGGGAATGGGATGGGTTTGGAATTGTGATTGGGGTGGGGACAGGCATGGAATTGGAGACCAAGATAGAGTTGAGGATGGTTTGGGGACTAGGGGTGAGGGTGGGACTGGGGCTGGGGCTGGGTGTGGGGTTGGGATTGGCGTTGGACATGGAGATAGAGATCAGGGCTGGTGGTGACCTGCCCCATCTTCCTCAGAGTTTTCAGAGTCCGTCTTGGCCACTACTCCCTGTCACCAGTTTATGAATCTGGGCAGCAGATGTTCCAGGGGATCAAATCCATCCCCCACCCTGGCTACTCCCACCCTGGCCACTCTAATGACCTCATGCTCATCAAACTGAACAGAAGAATTCATTCCACTAAAGATGTCAGACCCATCAACGTCTCCTCTCATTGTCCCTCTGCTGGGACAAAGTGCTTGGTATCTGGCTGGGGGACAACCAGAAGTCCCCAAGGTGAGTGTCCAGGTTCTTCTCGATACCGACCCATCTCTGCCACCTTCCATCTTTCTCCACCTCTCATTGTGTTCCTGTTTGACAGTGCACTTCCCTAAGGTCCTCCAGTGCTTGAATATCAGCGTGCTAAGTCAGAAAAGGTGCAAGGATGCCTACCCGAGACAGATAGATGACACCATGTTCTGTGCCGGTGACGAGGCGGGTAGAGACTCCTGCCAGGTGAGGACACCTCTCTCTTTATTCAGCAGATGCACACTGAGTGCCAGCTCGATAATGTGAACTTTGCCAAGTTCTGAGAATCCAGCCATTGCCAAGACAGTCAGGACCCCTGTTCTCACAGAGCTCAAACCCTAGAGTAGTGGTATTTAGTAGAAATAATGCTGAGCTGCTTATGTCATTTCCAATTTTCTAGTAGCCACATTAAAACAAGAAGAAAAGGCCAGGCGCGGTGGCTCAGGCCTGTAATCCCAGCACTTTGGGAGGCTGAGGCGGGCGGATCACCTGTGGTCAGAAGTTCAAGACCAGCCTGACCAACATGGCAAAACTCTGTCTCTACAAAAAAAAAAAAATACAAAAATTAGCCGGGCCTGGTGGTGGGCACCTGTAATCTCAGCTACTCAGGAGGCTGAGACACGAGAATCACTTAAACCCAGAAGGTGGAGGTTGCAGTGAGGTGAGATCGCGCCATTGCACTCCAACCTGGGAGACAGAGTGACACCTTGTCTCAAAAAAAAAAAAAAAAAAAGAAGGAAGGAAAGAAAGAGGTGAAGTTAACTTTAATAACCCAATGTATCCCAAATACAATCATTTCAAAGTTTAATTAATATAAAACAATTATGAATGAGATACTTTACGTTCTTTTCTTGTTTTCATATCAAGTCTTTGAAAGCGAGTATGTATTTTATACTGACAGCACATCTCAATTTGGACTAGCTACATTTCAGGTGCTCAGTAGCCACATGTGGCCAGCAGTTACTGTATTGGATAGCAAGGGTCTAGAGGGAAAGATCAAGGCTGTTTTGTACGGTTGGGCAGGTTGTGCACTGCATAAAGATACCACATTTAATGGGGGCACTCCATGTTACAGACATCAGTTTTGGCAGTTTTCAGGCATGTGGTAGTGAAGTGTCTTGTTTCAACAAAATCTGTCATATGACAGTTTTCCAGCAAGTGCTGGTAAAATATCTTGAGGAGGAAAAAGAGAAATCTGGTAGGTATTTTTACAAGAGAATATTTAATACAAGGGATTTATTACAAAGCTGCTGGAAGGGCTGGAGGAACAACAAGGTTAAAAAATAAAATAAAAAACTCCGTGGTCAAGAATCTGCATAAATAGAGCATATTCAGAGAGCAGTAAGGGTTAACCCCAAAACGAAACATGGTTTTAGGATAGTAAACAATAAGGGCAAATATTCAAAAAGGTGGTCAGGGGAGCCTCCTTGGAGAGGTGGCATTTCAGCAGAGAATGGATGACACAAAGAAGCTAAACTCGTGAAGTTTAAGGGGAAAGAAAAGGCATGTGCAAAGGCCCTGAGGCAGAAAGGAGTTTGACTGATTCAAAGAAGAAAAGGAAACCAATGAAAATGGAGAACAAAAGTGGGGGGAACAGTAGGAAGTGAGGCTGGAGGGGTAGGCAGGGGTGAATGTTCTACCAGTATTTACTGGTCACCAGCACAGAGCTTCCCTATGTTCTAATGGAAGCTGTATCTGCTGAGGAAGACAGAATTTAAAATCAAACTGTTACATCAACCAACACCCTCCTTTGTATCCAGGCTCCCAAGGGATCTAGAGGGACGTAAGTTAACAAGCTCTCATTGGCAGGGTGTGCATTTCAACAGTAGATAGGAAGCTGAGGATTCAGGAGTACTCCAGTCCCATGGCTACAAAAAGGCTCCCCCAAAATTGTACAAACCTGACAATTGCAACAACTTCCCAGCTCTCCCAGTTTCTTCTCTGTGCCCTGGGTGTAGGGGTGGGTGGCGATGGGGGAGACTTTTAACAGAAGAAAGCACATCTCGGCCGGGCGCGGTGGCTCACGCCTGTAATCCCAGCACTTTGGGAGGCCAAGGTGGGCGGATCACAAAGTCAGGAGATCAAGACCATCCTGGTTAACATGGTGAAACCCCATCTCTACTAAAAAAAAAAAAAGTAGCCGGGTGTGGTGGCAGGCACCTGTAGTCCCAGCTGCTTGGGAGACTGAAGCAGGAGAATGGTGTGAACCTGGGAGGCGGAGCTTGCAGTGAGCTGAGACTGCGCCACTGCACTCCAGCCTGGGCGATGAATGACACTCTGTCTCAAAAAAAAAAAAAGACACATCTCATTCAAATGGTAGCATTTAAAACTATTTAGCCTTTCTGTAGGCAAGGTTACTGTCTTGTTTTTCCAGACCTCAAGGTGTTTTTTTGTTTGTTTGTTTGTTTTTTCATACCGGTGTGTGGTCTGAGTGTGACCACTAAAAGCTGCAAGCAAGAAATAATAGCAACTACAACAATACTAATACTAATAGTATAAAAATAATAGCAATAGCATCTGGCTAATTGCTGGACACTGTTTTAAGTAATTTGCATGCCTCCACTCACGAACTCATTCACCTGTTATTATGAGCCCTATTTTACAGACAAGGAGCCAAGGCTCAGAGCAGTTAACTAACAGCCTCTCAAAAAAAACTCTGCAGAGGTGTTAAGTTTAAAAAATAATGAGAGAAATGAAACCACAAGAAAGTTGAAATTTAGAGGTCCAGGCAGCTAAGCTGGTTTGCCTTGAAACAGTGTCTGCTACTGAGAAAAAGGCAAGTCTTGGCGTTCCTAATAATTGATTCCAGGACTCTCTAATTATTCACATTTTGCATGCATATAAATAAGAAATGAGGCCATGTGCAATGGCACATGCCTGTAATCCCAGCACTCTGGGAAGCTGAAGTAGGAAAATCACTTGAGCTCAGGAGTTCAAGACCAGCCTGGGCAACTAATTTAAAAAATAAAAATACGAATTGTTTTTATTTTAGTAGATTTTATTCATACCGCTCACATAATTATTGTAGTATGTACATATTTATCTCTAACAGAGATAGATATTGCTTTTCTTTTCTTTTTTTTTTTTTTTTTTTTTTTGACATGGAGTCTCACTCTGTCACCCAGGCTGGAGTGCAGTGGCACGATCTCAGCTCACTGCAGCCTGCACCTCCCAGGTTCAAGCATTTCTTCCACCTCAGCCTCCCAAGTAGCTGAGTTAACAGGCACCCACCACCATGCCCGGCAATTTTTTTTTTTTTTTCCCGTAGAGACGGGGTTTCACCATGTTCATCAGGCTTGTCTTGAACTCCTGACCTCAAGTGATCTGCCCGCCTCAGCCTCCCAAAGTGCTGGGATTACAGGTGTGAGCCACTGTGCCCAGCTGGGAGATAGGTATTTCTCTCTACCTCAAACAGAGATCCATTCAAGCTACTTTTCATTTTCTTCATAAATATTAGCCAAGTGTCTATTTTGCACCAGGAATGGTTCCAGGTGCTGTGGATATGGCATCGGGCAAAACAGACCAAAAACTTCCTGCCACATGGACCTCATGTTCCCCAAGTGGGATACAGGCAATAAAGAGTAGATAAATATGTACTAATTTTT